CGGTGCCCGTGATTGCATTCCGAAGCGTCTGGGTTATTCTGCCTGCGGGACCGTAACCTTGGTCGGCTCCGTCTGCCTGAGGCACCTTAACCTTGGTCGGCTGGGTAAACGACGCACATGCCCGTGCCTGTATTCCGAGGCCCCTGCTTTCCTCGAAAAGGAAACAACACTCGATCCTGATCTCGAGTGCCGTGTGTTGTGTACGCGTCTATTGTGAATCACTCCCGGTTCATGGGGGCGCCGGCACCAGAGCACCGAGATACTGCCGTCTCGATGACTTCTTCCATACACCGGCGAGTATTCTGACTCTGAAGGAAACTTCCATGAAGTCACATCACGTGAGGGAATGCCAAGCCGTCTGAACAACGGCAGTGCGGTCCCCTAATCACAATATTCGTTATATAAAGGACCGTCCACCACACTCTGAAGGTACTCTCTGATTTTCACGCTACCATGTAAATAAACGGCTTTAAATAGAGACGCCCTGGATCTCGACCGTTCTTCCGTTTTGACGAGGCCGGCGCAAGTTCGAGCGGAACACCAGCCCCAAGTCTACCTTCTTATAAATAAAAATCAACAAGAAAAGAGGAATTGAAATATGCACTTCCGCAATACGCACAATCTTGCACAAAAAATCGGTCGAGGAAAAAAAACAAAAAAAAAAAAAAAAACCTTTGCGCCCTAAGTGGATTTTAACCACCGCCACCGAGATGTCGGCATCGCCGGCATCGCCAGAGCAGCGTCTTGTACCGCTCGTCCACGAAATCTCGCGGAGTAACACAATTTTGTGTGTTTTTTCATGCGCACTTGTTCAGTAGCTTTCCCAGCGTTGCACGCGATGTTTGAAACGGAGTATATGTTAAAGCTACCTTTATGTTGACCGTGTGAATGGGGTAGTCTCAGTTACGGAACTGCTCATGGACGCTGCATACACGAGCAGTACCCCCTCACCCACCACGACTCGCCTCCCGTCGTTTGACGCGCCAGACGGCTGTTTTGGTAACTGCAGTGTATTCTACGGGATAGGTACGTATCAAAGCGCAGCGTCTAGATGGCGCTCCAGGGTACTCTATGCTCTATGCCAGAGCCGTTTATCGAGAGAGTTTGGCCCACTGATCTCTATGACAATTGCTGGATCGCGTTTCCCCGCTTGTTCGCTGCAGCGCGAGTGAAGCCACCGGACTTCACTCGCTTGGGATACGATTTGCCGTTTTTGCTAGCCTTTGCTGCGGTTTTCCAGCGTGCTGACGACACGTTTTCTACTCGTTCGTCGTCATTCGACGAAGAAGTTTTTTGAAGACTTTTGTATTGTTGAGACTTGCCGTTGTGAACACGTGGAAAAATTTACGAAAGTGCAGTGTCGCAGGAAAAAGGCACAACGCGTCGAAAGGAAGGGCTGGCGGCGTGTTCAAAGCTTCCTTGGCACGCCGAAGTGCCGTGTCTCTGTGCCTTCGCACGCTTGGATACCAACCAAGAAACCGACGCCGTGTGTATGTGTTTAGCGAGTGCAATGTGCGTGAAGCTGTTCGTGCCTCTGGATCAGCGTCTTTTCCCCTCGCGGTTTAGGAACGAGCTTAATCCAGCGTCCACTAGCGACGGAAGATGGGGGGAAGGTACGTCTTCTTTTCGTCCTTAGACGATTTACACAATACCGTGCACAACAGCTCCTCATCACTGATCAGTGCTGGCTTATTATCAACCTACTTAATTGCACTTAACGTTTGACCGCGGCTCCGCCTAATTGTAATTGGTCAACAGATTGCACACGACCATATCGGCCGCGCTTCAAAGATTTTCATTCTCGCCGTCTTGTACTTTTGCTTTCGAAAACCCCCTTGGCTCCACAACTTTGCCCTATTCGTGCTCCCACGGAATCTATTAGAGTAGATTTGGGACATAGCCATGGTTAATATAGTACATAAGAACACGTACGGATCTCCCCCTTTTATTGATAGCAACTCACCGGAACAGCTGGACGATCCAGAACTCCGTGGCCGATATATATAAATGATCTAAAGGCATCTACGCGCGACACACGTTCAGAACTTTGGCGCGGCGTCAATACTTGACCGGTATCCAAGCGTGCGAAGGCACAAAGATGCATCACTCGGCGTGCCAAGGAAGCTTTGAACACGCCGCCAGACCCTTCCTTTCGACGCGTTGTGCCTTTTTCCTGCGACACTGCACTTTCGTAAAATTTTCCACGTGTTCACAACGGCAAGTCTCAACAATACACAGAGTCTTCAAAAAACTTCTTCGTCGAATGACGACGAACGAGTAGAAAACGTGTCTACAGCACGCTGGAAAGCCGCAGCAAAGGCTAGCAAAAACGGCAAATCGTATCCCAGCGGGGTTGGGTCCGGTGGCTTCACTTGCGGGAGCGGCAAGCGCGATCCAGCAATTGTCATTGAGATCAGTGGTTTGGCCATACATTGAATAGGCGAGCATCTCGGGGCCAACCACAGGCCGCGAAGCAGCCCCTAGCGGTGGTCGTGAGCTCTAAATTTGTGACACGACTAATTCAAGCCGTTTTAGCGTCGCTAGAGTTAAAAGCTGTAACTCTCAGTGACTGAAAACATTGTGCGTGCGAGGTTTTTGTCACGCCAATATTCAAGTGTAAAATAAACGAACGTGCGCTCCAAACCAGGGCCAACTTGCTAGAAACAGCGTCTCAGCTGAGACGGTGAAAGAAAGCACTACGAAAGCCAGTGCACGAGCCGAGCGGGACACCGCGTCCCCGGACGCTGTTCTAACAAGCCAACATCAGCAGTGCAGAGAAAGGCATGGGCACGAGCGCGTGGCTTTGGAAAGTGGCTCCTATGCACGAGTTCACGTACAAAACAAAAGCGTTTTGCTGAGCTAGGTTCACGCGCCTGTACCTTTGTCTTCACTGCAGATATTTGTGAGATGGAGCAGAGAGGCCGAGATTGAACGCCTCTATTTCACGCTTTGAATGTCGTTTGCAATATTCTGACGTCGCGGTCTCCTGATTGGTCGACGCTGTGTCACAAATTTAGTTTACGCTCAAAGCGCGGGGGGAATATTCGGCGCTGGCGGCGGCCTTTGCTCCGCCTGTTGGCCAAAGTCTCCCAATACACGGCTCTGGCTTTGAACAAACTGTATAGCGCCCTCATTTTGGGTAGCACAAGCTCACCTGATTGAACATAGCACTACTTATGGCACGTTGATCGAGCTTTTTCAATTCTATGTGGTGCTAAAGAACGAAAAAACACCTTTGGACGCCAGAAATCGGCCAATCTCAACGTTGCAAGAGAATCGAAAGTGCCAAATTCATGACACCACCGCTAGGGCACGCATCTCTTTACTCTGGGTGGTGGCGTCACAACACCTGTGTCGCGACGCTTTAATTTTTCTTTTCTTTTTGATGTCTACTTTGGAACGCGTAAAACGGCATCTCTTGGTTCACGCTCTCAGCGTCTTAGCTTTGACGGCGTTCGAGTTTTTTATTCTGTCTTTGTATTTTCATCGTGATCTCGCGCTCCGCACCAGAGCAGTTACGCTTCTGCATGCGTGACAGTTTGAGACGCTAAAATTTGTTCTACCCAAAACAACTCCTAACAAGTCCCATTCGCAGAACCCTGTGGGCAGTGCAGGAGGCCCATAGGCACCATTTTCAAGATCAGTAGGGTGTCAGGTAGATAATAAGGGTTTCTCAAAGATTTAGCCACTGTGCTACCCGCGTCGGCCATGTCTACGCTCCCGCCGACTTTTCTTTGTCAAACGGAAATAAACAGCGCGCAAAAATAGACAAGGACGAAAGGAAGATGCGAACGACACAAACGCTGTACTCACAACTAAACATTTATTGAAAATACACCAACGAAGTAAACCGCACTATCGCTTCAGCACGTGTCAAGATAGGCAATTTCTTTTTTGTGAGGAAAAACCGATGTTTGGCTGACGCATGCATCTTGCCCCTCTTTTGGTATTGCATACGTTTCCAGCAATTCTCAGATGGTTTTACCTGTGCCCCTCCTGATGATGGTGATGTTGCTGAATTCGGGCTGGCATTTACAGGCAGCACAATGCAGAGGAAAGTGACCCCCCAGCGGTCGACCGAAGTGACCAGTCATGTTCACGTGTCCTGTCATTAATGCATCGGCGAGTTCGGCCGATCTACGCTTTTCCGCAGCTTAGTGGGATCTTGTATACCGCACTAACCACGCAATCAACATACTTGTTCCTGTGCTTTTCGGAACATTGGCTCTTGCCCCCAGCCTTTTCCGGAATTCTAGGGCAGAGTTGCGCTAACGTTTGAGGTGCCGAAAAAACAACAGCGACAACCTGCTTTGTCGTCGCTCCAAGCGCTTGCGTGCCTAGGTTTTTTTCCTTCCGCTCTACCAAAGTGGCGGCCCGTCGCGCGAGTCTACTTTCCGCCGAGTGGGGGTCCCGTCGCGCGTGTCTAGTTTCCTCCGCTCCTCGGGGTGGGCCTGTATCGCGTGCTAAACAGCTTCGCTGGCCATCCACCTTCCCAGAATGGAATGGCTCCCGATTTGTTCGCATTTAACTGTTCATGTTATAGGGCAAGAGCGCATTTACCGCCTCAACTATTGCCGTCGCAGAGGGAGTATTTCGCTAAGTACTTTCTGCCGCCTGCAGACTTGTTGACATCTTTATTGCTATTTGTTTATCCCTGGAATTGACTTTCTGAAAATGACTGGCATAATAATGTTCGCGCAGTGTGGGCAGTTCATTTTTCGGGTTGCGCTGACTCATGGGCGACACCTGTGGACACTCGCAAGCACCCGCCATGCCACAAATATTTCCTTTCTCGAGGAGCTCTCGAAATGGGCGGGGGCGGAGGGGGGGGGGGGGGGGGGGGGGGTCTGCCCCTCCCGGGAAATTTCAGGGGTGGCTCGGGCCCCCGAGCCCCCCCCCCCCCCCCCCCCCCGTAGTTGACGCATATGCGCATGTAGAAATTTTAACATACAATCTGCTATGTCTAAGTTATGAAAGGGCAAATGCAGGGATACACCACATTTCATGGCATCAGGCATTATTTTTATTATCAGCGCAATACCATATTACTGGAGTAATAATTATGCGTTCGTAGAGCAGGTTTTGATGACGAGATATTAAAGGAAAAAGAGTTAAAGTGGCAAAACAAAGAAAGATATATATGTATATATGTATATATGTGTGTGTGTGTGTGTGTGTGTGTGTTTTCACCATATTACGGACCAGCCGCGGTACCTGAAAGAAAACAGTAAAAATATTAGTTGGACAAAAATGGTAGCGATCCCCACGGTTCAAAATAGGCCCCAGGGGCCTTGCAAACCCCTATTTATGACATCATGCATAAATGCGGTTATGACGTTAAAGTGAGGTGTTGGTGTTCTCAGGTGGCAAAAAAATTTCAATTGGTGGAAACTCGGTATTCTCCTCTCGATATTATTCCTATATCTGCGAGGTAACGCAAAAATTCGATATGATGTCAGAGCTACGGGTCGGTGGTCCGAGATGCGAAATTACCATCGGTAGAAACGCGGTCCTCCCAGTAATATTCGAATGTACAAAAGAAACGGCAGAAGTGTCGAACTTACAGTTGGTTTGAAGCAGACCGTTAATAACTCCGATTATGGGTTTTGTAACCACATTCTTCCCTATAGCATCTTCGATAATCTGCAACACGCTGCAAATTATGTTGGGCAGAAGTTTACTCAAATTTTTGTCCGAAAGATTTTCCAGAAGGCACTGCGGAAAGAGCAATAGAAAAAAATCGTCATCTTCATCATTCTGGAAACCCCATTGAGTATAGAATTTGTTGTGCTTGCATTATGCGCATGTTACGATTAGTTATGCTTGTGTTATGTATTGTAGTAGGCTCTTGTGAACGAGACAGTAATGGCCAAATAAGGTTTATAAAAAAAATCGAGAAAAGTTTAATGTTATTCAGGACAAGTGGTGTTTGAGATCACGTGCAGAGCTACACTTCAACGTTCCGAAGCTAGCTGCTTGCCCCGACGGTGGCCTACTATCGCAGTCTTCCTTAAATCGTACTTAGTCGTGCTGCGTTAAGGCCCGTTCACACTCTTGCGACCGAGTACGACTGAGAGAGACGAGATCTCTTACAACTTCTTAAATGTTTCTAGAATGAGGGAACATATTGACATTGTGGCGCCATCTATGCGGTGACCCTGGAACTGCATTTCACAAGAGCGAAGGTTTTGCGGGATTTTCGAGGTCAAATGTGCGTAATACCCATAGAAAGGCTCGTTTATAACATTGTCAAAAGTTTTTCGAGCCAAGAAAGAAAGGATAATTCTCGAGAAATAAAAAAAAAATATGCCGGACCGCCGAGTTTACACTGCTTCCCAATAGATGGCGCCAGTGTGTTTTCTGGTTTAACAAGTTTTAAGGAACCCAGGTCTAAGAGGTCGCAAGAGTGTGAACGGGCCTTTAGCCGAGCAAAGGCATTCGGGTTGCAGGTTCCGTGCTTCAAGTCCCACTGTTCCGCTTTGTAAGGCTGAATAATTAGGAGTATATTTCATTTAGAATAAGTATGTTTCTATGTGCTTTGAATACCCATGAATTGACATGCTATGCTTACGTACGATTTATGTTGCCTTGGACTGGGTGTAAGTTTTTCTTCACGCTGGAGCGTGACACTTTTTGCATGAAATTCAGCCCATGAACATGTTCCGCGTTATTAACATTCGAGATTTGACAATAATTTTCTTCTATCGTACTGAGGGACGGACTTAAGGCAGAGTGGGCAGCTGCCTAGTGCGGCAGAATTTTGGGGGCGGCCAAGTCATGGCTGCCCCCAAATTAATATACCCCTTTTTAATCTAGCTCTGAGTCTAGGTCTAGGTCGAAATCTAGCACTTTCGAAACTTTTAACTCCAAAATTAGATACTTTCCCCCCTTCCCTCCACTCCCCATGGTCACTGACTATAAAGAACGGGAGTTGGGTGGTGGGGTGTCACTGTCAAAGGCTGCCAAGGGTGGCAAAATTCTAAGTACACCCCTGATCATACTCATTGAAACCTTTCGATATAGCAGTATTACCTTTACAGCACGATAAATGGCTTCTATTGGAAGGAATGGAATGCTTTGTGTTTGTCAGCGCAAGAATACACTTTTAATAAGACAGTGGAGCTTTATTTATTTATTTATTTTTTCATGTACAAATACCCAAAAGCCCAAAACAATGGGTCCAGGCAGGGTCGCGGTGCAAAACCAAAGTGCGGATAGAGGTATATAAACAAGTACAAACAAGCAATACAATATGCGGTTGCGATTACCGTCAATTTCAATGGTGCCATACTTCCTAAGAAGCTCTTATCTTAGGGGCATTTACGACTTCTGACTCCAGTTTATTCAAATCGTCTATACCATATTGGAAAAAATGCAAAATTTTAAGGTGTCGGCAAAATACGGATATGACTGAATATATTTGTTATGCTGTATACGAGTAAGAAGTTTGCCTGAGTCATCTGGGAGGTCCGAGTGGACGTATCTTAAGATATCAATATTATGCTGTCAATTTTCTAATAGAACGAAATGTATTAGGTTGTGAGATTACATGCGTATCTTTATGTCAGGCAGCCCCGCCCTAACTTTGAGCATTGGTACTGAGCCTGTGGAATGATAACGGTTATCGATAAACCTCACTGCCTTATTTTAGAATTGCTCAAACTTATTGATGTTACTATGAGTGAAGGATTCGGAGGGCATACTCGCGTAATCTATGATTGGTAGAACAAGGTCATAAAATAAAGTAAACATTTTACGTAATACGTAATAAATATCTTTTGCTCATGTTATGGTACAATAATAAATAGCAAAGTGTAGAACTTACTATAGAGGTCTGACTTGGGCAATGATGTGAACGGTTGTCAGAATTTTCGGACAGGACACATGATTACATCAAATAGAAATCAAAGCGCCGTACGTTTGTTTATGGGTAATTATGCATCTTACGCCTACTGTGGTTAGGTTTTCGATGTCCGAAATACCTGTGACATGCTTCTCAGCTTATTACCTACTTATAGTGCGGAAGCGGTTGTCCAGAGAATAAAGGACTATATATTTGGTATATTTGTTCAACGAAATCCTTGAATTTGTACTATTCTAGCAGAATAGTAGTACATAAAACACTTTTAGCATCTTTATAAAAATGCAATGTTACCTCCGAATCCGAAAGCAGGGCAAAATAAAACTTTATTTGGCTGGAAAGGCCAATTTTTAGAGTTTCACAAATTTATGTAATTATAGTTGATAAAACCCACTAAAGCGATATTTTATCTTTAATAATTGCAAATGCTTCGAAATCACTTTAGGATCAACACCGCTTCAAACAGGCGTGGCAAAGCAATAATAAACCCATATCTGTAGTCAACTTCTTGTTTGCGAATTTTATTTAATAAAATTTTTGAACGCCCGGGGCTTGAAATAACAAGCATTCACTCATATATCTCACGTACACCAGAATGATAGAATGCCGAAATTTCCATATGCCGTTTGGTTTTTCTTAATACGTGAAACGAATCAATACAGCTTTTGTTTTATTGGCATTTTTCTGGTGGTGTGAACTTATAAAAAAAACAAAAAAAACTGCTCGGTGCCATTTTAAGGTAAGCAGTGATGGCAGAGGCGAGCTGGTGTATATCTATAATTTTCTTAAGCCAGCTTTAGCTTCTTTCTATTTACACCATTATCAAGGTCACCACTTTGCCTCAGTATACACAGAAAACGCCTACAAGTTCGGAACATACAATGTTCTCAACTTATGGATTTTTTTTTAGTGAATTGGGTGGCACCATTAAGAAATGACAATGTCGTATACATCAAGATGTCACTGAATAAGCAAGTCGGCCTAGTTTGAAACATCGCCTACCGTCATTCTGTTGTTGTTGTTGTTTTTTTTTGTTTTTTTTTTACTTTTTAGGTTTGTAAGTGACGGGCGTGTTGGTAAGGGTACTGAATATGGAAAAGGGACAACGGACGGACGACGACGAGGCGGTGAAGTGCCCTAGAAGGTTGAGTCACCTCCTTTCCGCTTCCCTTCCCCCCCCCCCCCCTCCCTTGTTCTCTCCCTCTACCCTACATATACAGATTTGGGGTTAATAAATTTCCGCCGCTATTTGGAAGTCGTCGTTTCTCGTTGTTGTTCGTTCTTTGTCCCTTCCCCATATCCAGTGGTCTTTAGATTGGTCTCATTCTGCACCCAGTATCAGGTGGCTTAAAGGGATGCTGAACCGAAATTTGAATTTCCCAAAACACGCGGCAAATGCGTGCAACGGGATGCTACAAACACCAAAGCATCGCTCATACAGCGTTATCTCGAACGGATGACCGTATTTTTCACAAAAGGAGGCGCGTTTGGCAGGAATGTTGACTTCATGTTTCTCTGAGAAGGAGAGAGACCGGCCTCGCGTCTTCTCCGCCTCGCGGCCCTGAGGGAGCGAAGCAAAGGGAGGAGGAAACACGGTATCTTGACGGTCACGGGCCTCGTCACCCTCGTTCAATCTCGACCTCTTTTTCCGAAAATACGGCCGTCCATTCGAGATATCGCCTTACGAGTAGTGCTGTAGGGATTGTAGCGTCCCGCCTACATCTCCTGCATTCATTTCTTGAAATCCAAATTTATGTTCACCATCCCTTTAAGAAAATAACTCGAAATAGAAATGAATACTGAACTATAAATTACACGATAAACTGAGTAGGAACGCTTCGAGCAAAAAATGAAAGTCTTACCTGCCTCCTTCGGGAGATAATTGAAACCTAGCCTTTTTCACTTTAATGCAATGAAGGTGATCTTATTTTTCTTAGATGTCTAATTAATTATGAATGCAGCGATTGCGCATTGTTACCTGTATAAGATCGAAAAGCACCTGAACAGCACTCCCCTGTAAAGATATCGAAACACAGTAAGACGTCATGTTCAGCACTGACGACATTGCAAAATAAAAGAGGAATTGTACGGATATATAATTTACCGTTACTGGCTGCCCATTCTCGCAAGTCTGAAACTCTGTTCCGACACACTGCAGAAAACCAAAAACACGGCGGTGAACAAATACACGTCTTGGGAATGCAACTTTCTAGTAAATAACAAGGTGAAAATTGCAGGGTTTTTCTTTCGAACACCCGGATTGAGGGATGGGTGGATCCATGCTAACGGCCGTACTCTTTATAACAAGCCGTAGCTTTCGCCGCCAGTCAATCTTCTAAATATTGTTTTCCCTCATTCTGCCGTTCTAGTCTCATTCAGCCGTTCTATGAGAAGTATAAATGCACCCACACATTTATGATTTTCACAAGTTTATTCCGTATACTTATTCCCACTGGGTCCCCATTTTCATCGTTAAATACCGTTATTCCTGACTTGTCGCTATAGAATGTCAAACCTAGAAAGTCCCCTTCCCCTCCACAGATTTCATTTAGCTTTTGTAATACAACCCGGCTAACTCTTTGCTGTGGACTGTCGGCTGTGTAGTACAATCCTGGTATAAATTGATTCCCATTTCCCCCTCTTCCAAATACGACACATAAAATCTAAATTGAACTCATTTACTTCTTAATGAAAAACGCGAAAACAAATTTAGAGAAAAACCTTTTCACGTTTTCAGGACGGTGCGTTACGGATGTCAAAAGAAGGGAATTCCTCTGCCGTTTCTCGCGGTTACAGACAACGCCTGCTCCACTCCATGGGACCGTTAATGCTTTCGCATTAATAATAGTGAAATATATATTTAAATAAGATGTCAAAATGATCACTGCTGTCTTTCGGTCTTATACTGGGTGATTTTTAAGGTTAAAATATTTGTTTTAAATAGCCACGAAAGCTACACTAATTCAGTTGGTGCAGGTGAGTTATAGGGTCAGGCGGACTAAATGTAGCGGGCCAATCATAACAATAAGTCGGCTAATTAACTAAAATATGTTTATAACGTTTCAGTTACTAATAATAAGCAGATGGTTCTAATGAGAAACTGTCTGAGCATCATCGAAAATTACTAAATCAGTCGTGCAGCAGGAGTAAGGCTGCCGGTCACGTTCATGCTCGTTTTTTTCGTCTGTTATCATCTGTGTTATCTCACACCAGCTACAGTGGCTTAAAGGGGGTAGTGTGGTTACCGCGTAGCCACCACCATGCATCGGGAACGGCCACTCCTTGGAAGACAATGTAGGTGGCGCTTCGATCCGCAGCTCCGTTGGGTGCTTCAATCGGCCGGCAGATAGAGGCACCCTAACACGCTTCATAACTAATATAAATACCTAAAAAACAATTATTTGTTTCCAATGAACTTCCAAGGATATGATTTGTGTTTGAAGGTGAATAAAAAATGTGAAACTAGCAGACGACGGTGTAGTCGACAGCTGCGAATCGGCCGGAGCTGGCCGGAGCCAAGCTGACCAAGCGGCCAAGCCGGAGCCATAGCCGGAACGACGGTGCTGCAAGCGCCAGCGCCACCCGCGTTTGTCTTCCAACGCTGTGCCGCTTCTCCGGTTTCGCTCGTTACACTACCCCCTTTAAGCCACTGTACACCAGCCTTGCGCCTGTTGCGCGAAGGGAAACTTTAGCGCACTACCGCGGTTCCCACGCACTCAAAGTCTTTCTAAAATTTACTGATATAGTTTTTGATGACGCTTTGCAAGTTTCTTATTATAACAATGCGTATTTTTACGAATTAAAAAGGTAATTAACAAATTTTAGTTAATTTTTTGACTGATCATGACCGTTATCCCACTGTAAATATTATTATTATATTATATTCTCCTCGCCGTATAATCTACAGACACACCACATATTAGCACAGTGAGGAATAAAACTTGGCCAAACGTTTGAAGCCTTGCAGGCCCTTCGTCAGTCTAAGACTATCAATTTTATATTTGCTTTGATTCTATAACTCGCGAGAGCTTGCTTTGTTAGCGCAGGTTGTCATCCGTTTATAAAAAAAAACTCTCATTTGCATCCTGTTTATTGCTCAAGTTTATTTATAGTGAACATTGTAGCAAGATCCACTCAGATGTGAATCGACACTGAATAATCTTACCGCGCCAGCCCCAAGTACGCTTGGAAGGTTGATCTCAATTGGATCTCCGCACACCGCGGCGGTGTTCACCGTCAGAACGTTGCAGTTCACTTTGAACAGGAGCCCCGTCACTTGGCAAACACCTTTAATGGCGTCAATCACAATGCCTGTAAGAACATTAAAAGGTGAAGAGGACAGAGCGTCAGATTCAAATTAGTTCGATCGCGTGCCGTTAAGGTAATTTAGGCGGCCGTTAAAGGCGAGGTTTCGCTGCGGATTGCGTGTGTCATACACGTATAAAATATAGCTAAAGTGCAAAAATTTTGTTATTGTTTTAATCTCTAAATTACTACCCGTAACGTTTTCACGCTAACTTTGGCGGGACATTCCAATGTCGTTACATCGTGACATAACAGCGACAATTGACGTGTCGATACTTTGGCGAAGTTTAACCAAAAAAGCGTTTGGCTGAACTTCGCGGAGAAATATTTCCTTAACAACAACCACAGCATGTATTCAATTGAAAGTATGAGATTCAGAAGGCGTTTTTAAGATAGGCCACTGCGAGCAATAATGCGTGCCTAATTGTCCGCTTTGGAGGGCTGTCACGTCAAATTCAAACGATGCATTGCTTAAAAATACGCTGAACGTACCCAGATTGTTCCTCTGGAATACGTATTCGAGAAGCTGCAGAATTGTGTACAGCTGGGACCCCAGATTCAAATCACCAATTCCTTGCAAGACGCACTAAAGAGGACAGAAATCAGTGCTTGAGATCAGGACGTCAATCCAGATTAGGGACAGAGACATTCCTTGCGTTAGACGTAAATGCGATTTAGGTTTCATCCCCTAAGATGGAGTAGATTTAGAAGAGGATAGACGGAGAGCATCACCTACGTAGGAACACGTAGAAAGTCACACCTTCTACACTACCGGTGTTCAGCTGACAAACGACCGGCATCATGCTATTGCTAGCAGTTGCGCGCCACCTATAGGCAAACTACCTATTTATCCAGCAATTTTCGTTTTTAACGGAATGTTTAACGTTGATCAATACATTTTGAGAAATCTGGAGCGACTGCTTTCCCCCAATGCACTTGGGAGAGCCAATCATTGAAATCCACGAAGTGGTCTTGGCGAAGGACTAAGCTGCTAATATATTTCGACAAAAAGACGCGTTCTACAGTGTGGCTCTGAGCTCACTACAGTCCGTAGAGTGCATTGATTGGCTCCCCCCAAGTGCATTGCGGGAGAAGAGATGCTGCAGATTTCTTAGAGTGTGGCCCCTTTTCAAAAGTGTGCGCCATCCAGTAGCGGTTATCTCAATTATCCGAGACTTTCATCGCTTGTGCACGTGGTCTGCGAATCTATCGGACAGAAAAACTCTATCGTGTTCCGGCGAGGACTCGGATCTGGTCACGCATTTTGAGGCGCTTTGCGTCTAAGAAATGGCCACCGCCAATGTCGCTTGATGGGGCTTAGAAGCATCTCGGTTGTACTGTTGCTCAAACACATCCTTAGGACTATTACAAAAAAAAATATTGTAAAAATTCAGCGTAATAATGCGAGAATAAGTCTAGTGCACGACCTATGTTAAGTAATGCACTGGAAGGTAATATATGACTCCGAAAAAAGCATTACCGCGTTATTCTTTTACCCCAAAAGTAAACTACTAAACTGCTCATCGCCAAACGGTGTCTCCACCCAGATGCTGGATCGTATTCCAAAGTTTTTGATCTATCGGTCATCTTTGGCGCCGTTCACACACTTGCGACCGAGTAAGACCGAGAGAGACAAGACCGTTTTATAATCTTTTTACGACGGCGGACAGGACGCGCTGCTGCGGGGCGGGTCCTCCGCCGTTGCAAGAGGCTTAAAAACCGGCCTTGTCTCTCCGTCCTACACGGTTGCAAGTGTGTGAACGGCGCTTCAGACAAAAGTTATGTGATTTTCAGAAAAGTAAATGAAAACATAGGGTTCGTTCCTTTAACTGGCTTCGTTCATCTTCGCGTATTTTTAGCATTCGTCGGTCGTCATTTTTCTTATGGAAAATTTTCGAAAATCACGAAACTTTTGAAATATATTAAACGGGCGCAGACTCTTAAACATCGGCCTCTTATTCGAACAACTGCCCTATAAAAACACTGGAGAATAATTTCATTTTAAATTATTCCTTCCACAGAAATTGGTGAGCCCTTGCGTGAGAGGTAAACATGGGCGAATATAACGCAACACTTTACAACAGAAATATAAGAAATAGTCGCTCGTACCACTGTCGGGATTATTTCAAGCTCGCAGTGAAATAATGATGCTTAAAAGTGATAAAACATAAACGCAACTCGATAGTGTTCCAGGGCTGCCGGATAGATGGCGCCAATGTGGTAAGTAGAGAGCCCGTATTACAGAGAATGTCCAACTACTCAATCGGAGTCACGTGGTTTGAAGGCGGCGTTCGTAACACGAGCGCCGAGGAGGTGACGAACGCGTTGATCGTCTGCGAGCGCCTCCGCCTTTCCGCCTGCTTTCCTCCTCGTCACGCGACAACACAGCGCATGCGCACTTGAGACCAATCTCCGTGGGAGGCGTCCGCCTTTAAATTGCGAAAGCTCCGCATGGTTTGCATACGCTCCCTAGGCACTCTAGCGTTTAGCGGTTAAAAATGAACGCGCCTGCCTCAAAAACGCCTAACTTGGCATAAGTCTGGCAACACTTACGGCCTAACTTGGGCATAATACGGTTCCACTCGAAGGCGTCAGTTGTGCCAAAGTACTTTTCTATTGCGCTTATATGGATTTTCTCCAGCTCGAAACATAATTGCCAAACCGTCAGATTTGAGAAAATAATGCCACGTAGAACCAAACGCCAATAATGAAGCTTTGATCTGGCACTTGTTGGGCAGTTTAGGCGCAATGCTCCCACATACAATCCGAGCAACCAGAATGGAACCCTAACTTTTGCACTCGTCTGCCGATTTGTTCTCAAAGATGCTGGATGACAGAAACTACCAGCTGTGAAGCCTTTCTTTGGTGCTTGTTTAGCGAATTGGAGACATTATGCCCGTACTCTGGCAAAAGAGTTCGGCTCTACCTTGACTTCTTCGGGCACTTTAAGACTCTAAATTACCAGGCCCAAAAGAGCTGTGCTGCCTGAATAGAGCGTTCCCCAGCTCACGATCATGATCACGTGATCAGGATAAAAAGAAATTCCAAAACTAAGAACTCACCAGAACCACTTTACCAAGTTCGAAAATGGCGCCATCCTTTGGATAAAACAAAATGACAGAAAAATCGTTATGTGGGGGCCCTTAGCCTTTAGATGGCTAACAGTGTTTGGCTAGGTCATTGAGGGTGGATTGGGTTTAATGAAAGTGGCAGAAGTAAGCAGAAGGAGGTAGTAATCAGTTACATAATTTAGATTTCGACGCAATTTAGCTTTGTATTTATTGCTTTATGCTTTATGTTATGTTGTTTATATTGTAGTTCGGACTAACTCGTCGTTATGAATTCTTGTGAGTCAAATCATGCACTTTTTCACCTACTGCACTGTAAAACGTTGTGACGATATATTGTCGGCACCCATAAGAATAAAAGAAAAATTCCGAAAAGATATTAATTCGTTAAGTTGTTTTTCGTTACATATGAGATACCTCGAAAACGCATGTAATAGGATTTTTATACGGACACTCACTACCTATACTATAACACTATAACTATACTGATATGAAATGTATAATAATATACCCTGCGGCTCCCCAAGACAGTAACTGAACTACAGGAGAGTGCTCACTTGCTTTCCCTAATGACTGTGGCCAAGTACAAAACAAAAGTTGTACTCACGCTGTCTTGAATGCAGAGATTTTGATTCTCTTCGAGGCACTATTATGAAGAAGGTGGTTGTAATAAGATGTAGCAAAAAACAATTACTGTCGTGAAAAACTTTTCACGAGAGCAGCATGATAGTTTTTATTGTAGTTTCTACATATCAGCTAAAGGCACACCTTGAACGAATACGACAAACACATTACGTTTTTTCGACCTTTTAAAACCTGGCGTGCCAGCTTCGTTTAACGTTCAACGAATGAGCTGACGTTTTAGAGACAAGTGTGCAGAGGAAATACATAAATGCCAAAGTACGTACCTACATAGTTCTATGAGCAAAAAACAGAAACGCAATTTGTGTTTGTCTCGAAGATCTTTTTTAATATTCGCATGAGCAAAACGGTAAAAGTGCACACCAGCTATTCGTTTATTTGTTGAATGGTCGTGTACCTATTCGCATAAGTTACGAACGCAGACTCCCTAAAATAAACATATAAACCGAGCTGATTGCACAAATCAAAGAGATTAGAAAGCTTTAGTAATGAATCTCCTCTAAGAATACCTGCAGACGTAAAATTTACGAACACAAAGTACAAGCCAGTAAAAGTAAAAGCCAAATATTTGAAACTCGTAAGACGTGTTGCCTGGCCAATATGGTTGCGGAAATGTACCTCTCCGAGACCCAGGACATTTGGCAAAGTGAGGTTGATGCATGAACCTGTAAAAAAAAAATCGCGAAGCGAAGAAGCCTAAGATTAGAACATATATCCTAGTAAGATAAAAATATAAATGTTTAAAATAAACATATCAGCATATAAGATCGTCTAAAATAGCGCAACGCAGCAGAGGCTGGTTGCATTATTTCTCCACGGGGCGTGGTGCCGTCGGGGCCGAGAAGCGCTGCGATTACAAACCGAAACCTAAAAACCCATCGAATTTGTGCGGTTCATCAGAAAACCGTAAAATATTTCACGTGCCTTCTATCGTTTTGCTGTTTGTTGATTTAGTGTGTTTCGATGATGCTGAGCATTTTTTTATATCGAAATATGCCCTGAAACACAACAATAAAAAAGTTAATTACGCAAAAATAATTAACAATCTAATTGTCCCGAACTTTAATAACTTTTTTAAATAGGCCCATGGCGCAGGACCAAAACACCACAAGCCTTTGTTTTCGTTTCATTGCGTAGTTTTCGCAATATGCAATTTGTCCACCTTTCGTGAAACACCCTGTATGTATTTATTTATTTATTCTGCTTAATGTGAACATAAACAGTTCAGGGTCTTAACAGGGTGCACAGACTACAATCAATAAAATACCAAATACAAACAAACAAACAGACAAGAAGGACGTGATTTTGGAAAAGTAAAAAGTAAATAAACAAAGCTACATAAAGCAACAGGCCCGGCTGTCCGCCAAGCGGCCAACAAAAATTTGTTTAAAAGTTGTGAGGGGTGAAAACAAGTCTAAATCTTTCCTATAGTTATTATAAAGGAGCTTTAGGCGTGTCATTGGGGACTGGACACCAACGTTCGGCAGGTAAAAGAAATGAAAATAATTTACACTTCTGAGGAACACAAAAATAGATCGCACTTAAAAGCACGCGTGTATCAAGCGCAGCGTTTACTTTCTGAGAGAAAAAAACCGAATTCATGCGCTAATCTTCTTTTCTGCAAAGGTACAAGATGAGGGAGATTAAGTAGGCATTCATAATCAAAATAAATATGTCTCCCAACCCATCTTTCATAAGCAATACGTACGACACGACGCTGCACTTTTTCTAAGATACATGAATTTGTTATTCCAATGGTGTTCCATACGACTGAGGAAAACTCGACTTTGGAGAAAACAAGGTCACAAAAAAGATCAATCATGCTAGCGTGAATATGAAAATTTTGCGTCATTCGGGTAATAACCCCCTAGCACCTGAGAAGTGTCATTCACAATTTTCGAAACGTGCTCAATAAACGATAGGCAGGACTCATAGAGCACTCCCAGGTCACGAATTGTATCCTACCTCGCAATAGCTGAACCTAACATGGTATACGGGTATTTAATGCTGGTTGTTTGATGGGTATAAGCAAGAACCTTGGTTTTATTGGAGTTATAAGTAACAAATTATTTTCAAGCACCAATTTAGAAGTGCCTGGACATCGTCTTTCATCATCTGACAGTCTGTAGCTGCATAAACTTCGCAATAACTTTTTACATGATATGCGAACTGCAGAACCTCTGAACGCTGCACACTATATGCCATATCATTCAGAGAAATGCTGAATATCAGCAGCCGAAGATTAGACCCCTGAGGCGCTCCAGTATTCAAAACATTCGAGGTAGAAAAACACCCCTCCGAAAACACTCGGGTTGGTCTTCCACCAAGATAACTTGACAACCAACCGCAAGACGAGCTAGTCGTGCTAAATACTGACGATTTGACCAATTTGACCAATTTGATCTACAAGATCAAAACCTTTAGTGCAATCGAAATCAACAGTATCAGCTTGTACATATGTGAGCGATATAAAGGTGAACAGCCCTCTTCTTGTTTTTGACGCTCCTGCAACTTTTGGAACAAGCTCTGTTCCAGAAAAAGGCTAAAACGCAACGTTTAGACCCTTGGCCACGTACCATTTGAGACGTTGAGAGTTAATATAGCTTTAGGGAGCCGTAAAACAGGCAAGAAAGTGGGTAACTTGTTCACCTTCATATTTCCGGCGGGTGTACACAGAAAGTGACCTTAGGTAAATGGTGTTCCAAGTATGATACAAGGTTAGTTTCCACTGAGTGCCCTTAACAGACGTGCTAAGAAACGTGCTAAGAAAAGAAATTGGCCTAAGTGACTAATCCAGTCAGTGCGACCAGATTTATGTATAGGTACAACTACTGCAGTCTTCCATTCATGAAGAGATACCTTTGCCTCTAGTGATATATTTAAAATATAGAGCAACAAAAATATACGCAACCTATATTACTTTTAGAAGTTTCGATTTGTTTCTGGGACAAAGCAGGCATGAAATCTTTCGTCCTTCGATAAGGTAGCAGTCAAGGGAGTTGAGATAAGACAGATATTATGAAGCTAGGAACTTACCGTCTCCAGCAGCCGAGGTGTGATTTACGCAGAAGAAGAGAAGGCAAAGAATAGCGACTTCAACGGAGTTCATTCTCGGTCGCAAGAATAAAACTTTCGGCGTTGATTCCTAAACAAGAATTATAGTTCCTTTTCTCTGCTGAGCGCAAAATCGTTATCATCTATTTATACTAAAATTATCAGGCAGGCTCTACCAAACGCAGAACAAAGCACAGAAAAACACCAGAAGACGTCATTGAGTGACGTGCGCATGGAGCCAGTCGGGTTCTGTTTGAAATTTCACGTGATTAAATTTATGACGCAAACGACAATAGCCATGGTTTCTAAGTTATAATTAGAAAGAAACAGGCGGGACTAAAAGTCCGACACATCCATGGAAGGAGACCCACGTGCCCTACCTTTTGTCTATTGTATTTAGTCGTTACATAGCGGATGTAGTACGATAAACATTAGCGACATTTTCAAACGTTTTTGGCGAACATTTTATTAGTTGAAGAGCAGCCGAATTGAGGGGCTTTTTTCCTGTTTGCACCGAGAGCAATTTCAACGGGGCACGTGTGTCACAAACTGCAGCTAAATAGAAAAAATAAAATTTAATAAAAAAAAGTATGCCAGAGCTTTTGCCGTGCCTCCCTGCAAGTTACGTCGAAATGCTATAGTATTGCTTGTCTTCTATGAGGGCTATGTTACGTTTACCGAAATGCGACGCACCCGATAGTGGACAAATCAACATTAAAAGTATATTTTTATTCCATAAAATACTGCCTCCTCTCTCGAGCTATCGCCGCCCGCTCCTTTCTTTTCCGAGGCATTCTGAAGACTTCGCCACGTCCTGGAAGTGCCTGATCCTGCTCATGGACGCGATAAGGAGTGGAGAACGGCACAGAATAACTATGGCTTCAGAGGTCTCCCCGGTTGCACAGGGTTCGAGGGTCCGATTAAAAATATAAAAAATGGAAACAGTGTTCAAGGGTCCGGCTCGAAATAACGAGGTCATTGGTTCGGTTGTCTTTAAAAGTGTTTTTTTAATTGAACCACTAATTATTGTTTTTTGGTATAGGCGGATGCGTTTCGTGTTACTGATTGACATATTTTGGAGGAGGTTGCCGCAAAAAATGCTATCGCACTTAAAGCACCCGAGCTTTTTCAGCCCCATTAAAATTTCACTATCCTTATGACCGGTGTGCTTCAATATAGACGAGTATTTAAAGTTAAAAAGAAACGGGTTGTTCTCCGGGTTAGTGGATACTAACTCTCGCGGACGCCGCCATGCACGTATATGGCGGCGAGAAAGTGTGAATGAAAGGCCGCGGTTATACATTGAAAAGCTCAGTGAACTTGGTGAAAGAGCTATCCCATAAACAGAATGGCTGACGGTTTTCAGGATGTGCGTCATTTTTTTTTATGTTGCAGCTGAAATAAGACGTGGAAATCGGAATGGTTCAGCTTGCGAGAGGTACTTTTTATATTGTCGGTTTTGATATCATTTTTGGTCAGGGCTGCCGACTATCGCGATACAAATGTATGGCGAGACACTTTCTAGTATTTCTATTTCTGTATCCAGATAAATCTTCAAACATGCATTTGTATCTCTGTTGTATAATGCATTTACGATGTATTGATTTTATCTCAACACTGTATCTGGTTGCATTTGTTATCGAAAATGAACTGTTGTGTTTCTGCGATAAACTAAAAAAACTTAATTTTTAAGGCAAAGGATTACAGAATTTATATTATCGACTCGTCACATAACCTCCCCGGCAAGAGGAAGCCTAGTTGCCTCGTACACGCAAACAGACAACACGATTAAAAACAAATCAAAACGACAACAACAAAACAAACGTAGTTTGAAGAAAGGTCCCTCGAAAGATCATCAGAATAACTTCCTCCCACATAACCCTCCATTCTATCTATTGTAGCACATAGAACGCTAGAAAGAAAGCGAGTGGAGACGAGGTATTTGTATCCGACAATTCTCTTCTCCAGTCTCAAACCCCCATAAAGGCTTGAAAAGTAATTCGCTCCATTAGAGAAGACGAGCGTACGCAAAAAAAAAAACTGGTATTATTTGATTACAATTTTTTTCTACTAATAAACCCCGGCAGAGAGTTGTATTACCGTCGCTAATTTTATAGAATGTTCTTTCTTTATCCAATAAAAGACTAATCTTTGCTTCTTTTTTAAGTAAATTATAGTTATGATTGTAATTAAATACAATTGACGGCCAAGCTGTCCAAGCCAGTACGATACGAGTTAAGCCCCAAAGCAGCCGAGAGAAATCTTCAAAAAAGAAATTACAACAATCGTAGCTCTTCTGTTGTGTCGCTGTATCGCTTTTTATTTCCTCTTTTTGACAGTTCATCGAAAATAAAACACCCGGAAATCCCTCAGATCCGCCTGCTCACTCGCTTCCTTAGTCGGCTCAGTCTACACGTTAAAAGCGGCCGAGAAGGAGGCCGCACATTTTGCTGGCAGCACCACGCATTGCGAAGCCTTTTTTACTCCGTGGCCGTATTTAGCCTGACCACCATAAATCGCTACCTTTTTCCACCCTGGAACGGCTTGGCCGCGGCTACTTCTCACACCAGCAACGGCGTAAAGCATAGTGCCTTCAAACTTGCCGCATTTTGGATCATTTTTAAGCTGGACAGCTTCTTTGGATATCCAAAAGCTGGCCTTCACGGGGCTACCCAGTTCACTCGGTATTGACAGCAGGGCAGACGCTATTCGTGCTTTAGGCCAATCGTGTCTCCGGTTAAGGTCACGTGACTACAGTCTCGAAGCTGGTGAAAAGGCAGAACACGTCACCTACCCGAAGCCCTAGGTCACACATAGCGTCCACTGCTTTATCAGCCTTGGAAACAAGTGACAAATCCACTCGTTGTGTTTGTTCTTGGGATGCCCCTGAAGACTAGACTTTCTGAGCGCACCCCCATTCTGGCCTTGAAGCAGTTGCCGCCTTTCTACTCCTTCCCTTTTTTTCCCTCTCTACCTAAACGAAAAGTGTGGTAGAAGATGAGCACTCGCCGGACCAACCAACCGTACACTTTTTATCGCTTGACTCCGCTTTCTTTGCTCGGTTACTAGGGAGTTTTCGTAGAGCGTTTTCGGCGTCCCGCAACGCTCTCCGCAACCCGCTACCATACCCGGAACTCTACAGTCAAGCCCATGGGTGCGCAGTGGCAGTAGCCGCTTCTTCGTTGCGGAGGGCTTAGCGGAGGGGGAAACGCGGTCTACGAAAACTCCCTAATGACTGAAGCGTGCTCGCGCGGTTTGACGGATGACGCATCAGCCGTTGACAATTTCGGAATGCCTGCTTCCAGAACTTGTTTGGCGTGTGGTGCGGCCTGCGGGCTCTGTGGTAAATGGGATCTCGTTCGAGAAATCCTACCCATAAATGCCAGCAACAAGCGATTTCTTCAAAGAAGCCTGAAAGATTCTTGTGATGCGTTTAGTGTTCGGTTCGACAAATGAAAACTAGTGTCACATCATGTTGAATCATCACAAATACCTTCCTTCTGGTTCGTGTGTTTGAGTGGTTATTCTGCAGTGCCCGTGTCAACATATATCTCGGATCGCATATTTCAAAACCGGCATTGTCAACGTAAGTGCGCAGCAACCTACTTCGCGACAATTGACCGTTCTTCTACGGGTATGCCCTTAAAAATTGTGTTCTCCTAATATATTAAAAAAAATGTCGGTAGATTTTATTTTTTTATCAGTGAATCAGCGCAGACAGCTTCCAAAATCTGTAGATCTACAGAGAAATTAGTAGACCTGACAACACTGGCAGCGACTGCAGAAGCTCCCCGATTAAACCGGTCCGTTTGACGCTAAAGGCTCCCTGGCAGGGGCTTGTATTACGTCACCCCGGTTATGTTTTTCTTGTGGGTGTGTTTCATGTGTTTGCGTTCGAAAACACTGCGGCAGTGTCCTCTTATAGAGCACGACTTTGTTTCTAATGTACGTGCAAATGATTCTTCCGTGTAAAATAATTTTGATTTTTTTTTCTCTCTTTTTTTCGCTGTTCTGCCGCTGCTGATGTCGTGATGTAGTGGGGGCTTGTGACCAGTCAAGCTGTGCTAACAGCTTTTTTTCCAAGCCACCCTCCAACCTGTACTTTGTTGGAAAAATAAACTCCCATTATATATATATATATATATATATATATGTCCTCCATCCCTCTAAAATATGGCAATATTCAAAATATTTATAAACCAAAAAATTCAGAAAGATTTGCCAGTGAAAGTGATTTAAGCGGCGACATTACTGCGATTCCTCTCGTTTGTAACTGACTGCTTTCGTCAAAACTGCTCTCCCGGTTCCCCAGAGTAAAACTTGCCCACGACGCAACATATCGGTGCGTTATTGGAGTTGTGTTTTAAAGTGATAAAAAACGTGCACCCATTTAACTACCAAAATGTTGAAGTTCAACGCCCATGACTGAGGAACAGCCTTTGACCGAAAACGGGAGTTCCTTCGAAACGCCCGTAGCGCCACTGCTACTGAAGCCAACGTACCACAGAGGTTATATGGTTCTCTGTGTGTCTTTTTATATGGAGCTGCATGGGTAGATACAGCGCATACCGGTTATATGGTGTAAATGTTTCCAGTTATATGGACGTATACGTTTGAGCATTGTACTGTTATGAGCGTCCATATGAATGAATATAGCTTTGTATGGGCCAGCCATATCCAACTATACGGAACCATATGTGTATCTTATGGCTGGGTATGGTTCAGCGATATATAACTATACGGAAGCATACGCGTATGGTATGGCTTGGTATAGTTCAGCCATATGCAACCATACAGAACCATATGGGTATAGTATATGGCTCGGTATGATGAAGCCATATGAGACCATCTAAATCCAAATGAAGTCTAATGGTTTTGCCATATGGGCTCATATAGATTTTTTTAGTATCGGTGACTGTTGTGAACATGACGCAATCGACGGTAGAGCCACACCTTCGCTGCAGGGCTTCACAAACGGGGACTTCTGCAGTGGTATGACTGCTGCTACAACATTGTTGCGCGATTGCAAGAAAACTGTTGCTCCTTTGCGCAGCTTTGTTGCGTCTACCCTTCCCACACCATAATTTTCTACCTCGGCAGACAACAA